CAATTCTTGGAAAGTTCTATCACTAGACTGTATCAAAATATGAATATCATATTTGATCTAGTTAGCATATTTTACCAGTTACACCCTCTTATCACTATACTTGTCGTGATTGGGTAACCTTGTGGTTAAAGCTTTCAATCAACACACAGAACACCCATGTTCTATTCTGTACATGGGTATGATGTGTGAAGCCCATTTCTGGTGTCACTCACTCACTCACTCACTCGCAAATGTGAACTCACATGTATGCAAACTCACATGTATGCAAACTTTTACTGTTAATGGTTTTCACCATCTTTTAAATAACCAATCGAGGGAGAAACATTTTATATTGAAAGCATTTATATTTATTATAAATTACAAAAAAATTCATTGGGATAGATTCCACCTTGTATGTACATCAAAACTTGGGGGATAACAAGTTCAACTGCACCACCAGCAAAATATGCCTAGCTAAAACTACTTACATGCTAGCTAAGACTAGCTTCTTTTTTTCTGAAATTAAGTATCTTGTAGGTACTTTATGGCATATAATATAAAAGGGCTCTCTGACATTTTTCAGTGCAATGCACAAGACTATGCGAACTATTAAATGCACAGGCTGTTGTTTGTTTTAGGGTCAAATGACAGACAAGCACCAATCAGAACTTTTCAAAGGACAATGAAGTAATTTGAATGTCATCTTTGTTTTTGTCAAATTCCCATTGCCTAAAAGTATTTTTTTAAAGATGAATTTTAAAACAAGTAATATTTGAATATATGTGTGATTGCACCCAGCACAATCATTTGTCAGTTATGGTGATATATGTGAGTGAGTGAGTTTAGTTTTATGCCACACTCAGCAATATTCCAGCTATATGGCGGTGGTCTGTAAATAATTGAGTCTGGAGCAGACAATCCAGTGATCAATATCATGAGCATCGATCAACGCATTTGGAAACTGATGACATGTGTCTACCAAGTCAGCGAGCCTGACTACCCAATCCCATATATGTTTATTGACCAAGGGTTTATTTCAACTGGACGTGGCCAAAGTTCAATATACACCTGGTCCGAACTGTCAGCTGGACGACTGGACACACGGACAATGGACCACTCCGTCTTGCTTTCATCCTTCATATCATAACTGTATGGATGTTTTTATTAAACAGCCTAATCTCAGATTAGCCGATTCAATTATTTTTCACCCTTCACATTCCCAGCATGTTAGAATTGTTCCGACGGCTCTGTACGCATGGTTTAAACAAATTAATTGTGGTTTATTGACACATATGATCGGTTGATTATATCAGGATCCCTCGAGGGGGGCTGTCAAACTACTTCAAAGTGTCAGCATACAAAGAATCTAGAGTTACATCATCGGGTACGTAAACACGATGTTCTTGGTGTGTAGAAGGGGGAGATGAACGGCCTGAAGAGGCTTATTATTGTAAGGGATTACTGAAACGATGACCACAGACTTCTCTTCACTCTTTGACCTTTGTTTGCAAAACTGTTACAAGATGTGTATGGGGATTAATATGTCTTGTTATGGCTTTGCAATACGTGTATGTCAATGAGCTATATGTACATGGTTCATGAAATAGTTAATGGTAGGTTTCGTGAAACCAGGTTTTCAGGGGTGTTGTCATGTGTTCCAGAGTCTTATTGTAAGTGCTTGAAACTAGTAACTGGTGATTGGTCAATTATTATGTATTATGTGTATGTGTTGGTTGGGGTTGGGGCAACTTAGTGAATGCTGGGAGTCGGTAACATTTGTCAGAATTGGTAGTGAAGGGGCCATGAAAAAGTGACAGAGTTAATTTTTCAAACAAGAAAATTTGGTATGAAAATTTTACCAGGACTGGTGGTTTATTTTAGTAATGGAATAAGTTGAGAGATATCCTGTTTAGGGAGTCGTTCATGGGGGAAAGGTGGGTGGCAGGAGGTTTGGGGGGACACATGAAAGAAAACATTTTACATGCATGTAATGAAAAACATTTGCAAAAAATATTATTATACCGTCCTCAGGCGAATCCCATCAGACCTGTGACCCCCAAATACATGGCCAGTCCAAAGCATGCAAGCTACCGGAACCATATCAGAACACTGATGTTGAAAATGGAAGATTCAGAGGTCCATATATTCCTATGACATAGCAGCATACCTCTGTTCTTCAAACTCTGACAATTATGTCACATTTTGTCAGATACTTTGCCATTGTCAGAAGCTGTGGGGCCTAACAAAAAGTGGTTAGAATACTAAGGTCACACTGGTTTGATTTCTTGGAGTGTGGATTGTTGTTGGGGACAATCTTGTAGGGATAGGCTTATTTTGTTGTTGTTGAAGCTTCGGAAATGCATGCTGCGCAGTAAGACATTTTTACATGAAATTAGTAGATAAATAAAAATGGCTCATTTCAGATTTTCTACTATTCTCTTCTTTGTCCTACACTTTTTATTTTATGAGGTTCACAGTATATTACTGATAATAATAATTAGAATATTTATGACTCGCCTTTTCCAGGCTAGTAATCCTGATCCAAGGGCACAATCTGATCACTATTATCCTGGATAACCCAAGCTGCCTGTTAGGCGGTAGAAGGTTAATAGTATCATGACTTATTTCACCGGGTACCCATTTTCTGCTGGTAATAAACTACATTTATATAAATCTCAAAAATGGGGCATATTCTCTTTGTTTTCAAAATGTGTAGAAGTAGCTAAGAAAGCTTGTTCACTGTAACCTCTAAAAGGCCTCCAGAGCGGGTATGTATCAAAGGGGTTGAATAACAGCCGAGACAACAGATGATTACGCTGGGTTATCTAGGCCTCTGTTTGGCCCCTGATAATGGTAGATGATCCTTTAGATGACACACAGACCATCTTACTCCATTTCACTTCAACTCCAGAGACAACACACTTCAAAATTAAATTTTGTCGTAGACTCGCTGACTGGGGTGCTTCATAACACTGCAGTCAAATTTTGACATTGAATTAACTTTTGAGTTGTTTGAAGCGTGTTTGGGAATTTTTAATCTTTTGTGTCATGATTAATCAGTGGTTTAGTGTAGATATGCTAATATGATGTATTAAAATATTTCAAATTGTGAGTGGGTTGTGTTCCTTGAGAGAGATTTTTCTAAAACTAGAGAAGTAACATGTAAATGATTTTTTTTAATAGGTATGTGATATATACTGAAAAAAATGAATCATAAATATTTTCGGGATATCTTCATACAGTGGACATGATTCACTAATATTCTGTAAAAGTGTTCATGATCCCTAACTTAATTTCATCAGTATATGTGACAGTTATAGAAGGGTCATTTGAGCAAATTAATGGAACCGTTATGGGTAGGTTTATTTATGTTTCATTTTGGTACGTATGTAGTAAGTACCAAACCAGGAACTTAAATTAGAAATTTGGTATTTACCTAGAAATATTGTATTCTTACTAACAGGCATTTCTGCATTATATTCTATCACTAGTTCAGAAAATGCTTCCTAACACTGCTTGAAGTCAAGGACTATTTAAACTCATTTTATCCTCGACAATTCAGTATATCCATCTAGTATATCCAGATTTATATGTAATTAAATTGAAAATCCAAGGAGTTCAATTTTATTTTCCATTACATCAAATATATTTTTTTCAACAGACATTTTCCTCATTCTGGTGAATACCGCAGAATTTAGAACTGTATTTCCCTTGACAGAGACAAGTTGGAAGATTAACACTTAAATATTTTCTAGCATTAAATATTGACATTTTGATTATTTGGTTTAGAGATGAATTTGTCTTCTGTCTCTTGCTAAATGGAACTGACAGCTCAAGATTGATCTTTGACCAGTTCAACTTCAAGGAAGTATTGGTGTGGCTCTGGCAGCTTGTAATCTTCTTGTCTTTAAAGCGCCAATCTCAGAATTCCATTGACACCCTGTTGTTCGGAGAGTCTTATTAGCAGCCAATTCTACGGGCAGATTCCAAGATTTTCTCTCATTCCTTGGTTAATATTATTTAAACTGGAATCTCTCTCAATTGAATCGGTGACAGTATTGCCCTGTTGAAACCGTGGCAACAGTTTTGAATTTACCTTGCTTTCAATCTCACTGATACTGGAATTATGATCTGGAATATTTTGGTAATATATTGTGGGGTAATAATTTTGATTGAATATTTTTTTATGTTTGAAATTTCAATATTGCTCTGTTATTGAAAATGAGACCTTTTAATAGTTATATGGAATAGGATTCGCAATCAATTCTGGGACAGGAGTATTTTCCATTTTATGAATCTATGTAAATGTTTTTTGGCATTTTTTTTTATCTGTATAAGACTGAATTAAAAACTCAGTATAAATGTTTGAAAATTGAGTTTTAATGATTTCTCATGATAGCATTATGTGACCTCTTAAGAATTACTGATTATTAATATAGTATGTTATATGATTCAGAGATACATTTATCCAATATCATATTAACGATTGTCAGAAAATGACAGTTGCTATTTCATGACTTTGAGAAATGATTTTCTTGCTCGGACTTAAACACAGCAACACCTAAGGAGCGGGGCTGAGTGTACAGATATGTCTCAGATCTATAATTCCCTGTGTCAATGAGGGTCCTGACAACAGGGGTTGCAAACTGCGGAATAGTGAAACAAAACAAACAGTCAACAAAACGTGTGTCAGATCGCAAACCCGAGTTTACGTTTCAGAAATCTCTCATTTGCTTAAGAGGGAAATATTTGAAAGATTAGAATATCTACAATGCGAATGACGGCGACTGTTTACACCCTTGAGTGTGTGGGCAACTGTTCTGCGGCAGTTGCCATTAAAATGGCAATTCTCTCAAGTTAGATATTTCACTAACTAATACCCAAGCTTACTTTTTCTCAGCTCAACCAAACTTAAGTTTGCCGACATTTTCCTGCCTGTTTGTCCCTGTGCTGTGCATGTCATTGTGGGCCTCTCTGCCCAGGCAGTTTTCTAATGTCAATATGGAACGCAGAGTATCGCATCGAGAGGCGTGAGCGAAAAATTGACGTCTCCAATGCCAGTTTGCTTCCAATAGCCTGTTTGGTTGCTCATCGTTTGTGATTGCAGATCTGGAGCAAGTTGTCAAACTTTTATGCCTTTTTCTTGTGATAGTTCTCCGTCAAGCTGCTCAGGTAAGTTTTAAATTTCACCAACAGCTTAATATTTGTCCATTTGGCATTGGGAATGATGATCATGAAAATTTTTCATTTTTCAGTTCTACCATATTTTGTCACAGTTTAGCATCTTTTTGTCTCCAAGACTCAATAACTTGCATTTTACTTAAGATAATGAAATGTGTTTTATATTTTATGTCCTTTTGTTGTTATGGTTTGAGCTGATTGAAAAAGCTGTTCTCATTAGAGAAAGTACTTGTTTAATAGTGTTATCAGTACAACATATCTAGATTAATAGACCACATTGTTGAAATGTACTTCGGGAAGTTAGGTAATATGTCCTGGCGGTTTGGTAAGTGCTATATACCTTCAAACTAGTTAAATCCAAGAAGTGAGGTATTGAATTAAACCCACAAACACTTCAGCTAATATTTCAGGGTCATACAATTAGCAAAGAGTACTGACTGACGGGACAAAACTAGGTTAAGATTGTATATTATCCATATGTGAAGGAGTCGCATTAGGCCATTTTAAGATAATTGTACAAGAGTGTTCAGGTATAAATATAGTATTTTATAAAGCTCCTTGTTTTGAAATGTATTGCCATTCTTAGAATTTATTTTGTTCACAGGTAGTTGGTGAAAATAGATAAACAATGTATATGATTTCGTGCTTATGGATAGTAGCACTCAAAATCTTAATAGTTTTGATAAAGCCATATTTGTTTTCCTTCGATTCAAAATTCAGATATATACACTAAGTTTACCTCCAAATCTTTTTGTTATACATATATTAGGAGTTGTTTTTCAAGTTAGAAACAAATAGCAATTTCTTGTAAAAGAAATAGCAAATGTTTGACAGTGATGGTTGTATCTTAAAATATGATATACTATTCCACTTTGGTAGGGGCAACCAATGTTTTAGATACATTTACATGTACACTTGATGTATCATGAGTAATGGCATAATGATAATAATTTTAGTGGATTTGTATTGCACTTTTTCCATACTTGGATATTATGCTTGGAACGACACAAATATACCTATCACAACTGGATTTATTCTCTTTTTCTTAAAACAATTTTTCTGTGGGTTTTGAAGATATGATTGATAACACCTAACAGCAATTTCAGCCACATTTTCAAAAAATAAAATATAAAATTGTTGAATTAATGTAAATGTTTCTATATTTCTGTGACATGAAGCCTGTTGACAGGTCAGCTATCTCATGTAGAAATAACATATTTCACCAACTCGAGCCATTCATAACTACTGTTCTCAATCTGATATGTGTGATTAATGTGCATCAATGTCTGGAGTTTTGTTATCACTTGTTATATTAGTGGAAACGTGCAATGTGCACATTCCTAGACTGTTATCGAGATCAGAGATGAATGTAATATCATTTTTTGTCATAACAGATGGGAGACTGGTCACCATCAACACCTAGAAAATATATTATTTATTTGCAGTTTGACAAACAGTGGCACTTTTTATGTTAAGTTCATAAAATTCACATAGTTTTAATAATGTTTTGAAAATAACTATGTTTTGGGCTTGAATACATTTGCAAGATATTCAGTACATGTGGATGAATGGTTAGCCTCGAATGTATATGGATGATTGTAAAATGTATGTCCGTTTGTGTGTATTTAGGATAAATGTCCAATTGGTACAAAAATAGATGATTTCAGTAAAAGCACTGATAAAAGTACTGTATTCAAATGACTATGAAGCATAATGCATTGAAGCTCAAAGGTATAAATTCAACTAAAGTTTATTCCGCATAATTCATTTCAATACAAAATAATATAAAATAAAAAGGGAATTCCCTGTCTCATGAAACACAGCTTTTGCTTTTGTTTAAAAAGACATTTGACGCTGTCATTGAATGAGGATGTTATGTGTGTCTACTTTGTAATCCTTCGGTCATTTGTATGTACCATTGTGAAGTGAGTGAGTGAGTTTAGTTTTATGTCGCTTTTAGCAATATTCCAGCAGTATCACTGCAGGGGACACCAGAAATAGGCTTCACACATTGTTCACATGTGGGGATCGAACCCGGGCATCTGGGGAGATGAATGAACGCCTTAACCACTAGGCTACACCTATGTGAAGATATGGTTAGTGGTACAGGGCTAGATCCGAATCATCGACGTAGAAGATGCATGTTGTCATATCCCAAAGGTTAACACTGATGCTCATGACATCAATCACTGGTTTGTCCGGTCCAACTTGATTATTTCCATACCACCATAATTTAGTTGGAATAAATCTGAGTGCGGCATTAAACAACAAAACAACAAAAATCTGTATGCGGACATTCAGTGTTGGTGCACTAGAGATAAAATCCTGATAAAGTCATGCAGCAATCAGTTGTAATTTTCGTAACTCCAGTACAGTATTGAGTAACTATTCTGCTGATAGAAAATATAATATGTTGGTGTCATGGGCAATTAATAATTCATAAGCTAATTATGTAAGAGTGTTGTCATTATCTTATTATTCATCATTCTGGATTGACATCTATATGAAATTGCTGCGTCAATTGCATACACGACCTTTCCGGCAGACTTATTGACAATAGGGTGAATTGTTCTAACTGTTCTAATTACCTTAAGCACCTTAATTGTCAGCTACTGCATTAAATCATTATTTTAGAGTGGCTTTAATCCAGACATGCATTTAGCATTTGTGTCAAGTCCTCAACATTCTTGATGGTGTAACTAGTTGTTGGGAAAATATGATGTGCTTGAAAACTGGCTAAAAACGTAGAAATTTATATCTACTGAACAAGCAAAGTTAGTGATCAAGACTATTTCTTAGGAAATCTTAATAAAAATCGTCAGTCTTTTCTGATTGGTAAGGGTGTCTGATAATGCTTGCCTAATGGTTGAAGGGGTGGTAGGGAGGCCAAGTGGTTAAGTGCTCACTCGTCAAGCCGAAGACCCGGGTTCGATTCCCAATATGGGTACAATAGCCCTTTTCTTGTGTCCCCCTCTCATGATATTGCTGGAATATTGCAAAAAGCACCATAACACCTCAATCACTCAGAATGAATGGAAATCTGACATGGATTTCAGGATTGTAGATTATTTTATTTATTGTGTAAATATGTGATTTTGTTTTGAGAATTATGACCTGTTTAATTGCATTCTTTGCCAACAGTGTCTGACATATTTGATTTGTTATCTTGTGAAAGTTAGACCTAAATAACCGACACACAAGGACACCACAGGCATGCTATTGTCAATATTGCCGTGATAATATAACAGATTTCACTGTCAGGAAGGTGTTGAATGTCAATATCTACTATTCTGCATCATATGACAGAATGTATATCAAGATATTATTTTTATGGCAGGAAGTTTTGCTTTCCTTTGATGGGTAAGTGACATCTGATTGGTTTCGAAATCCAAAGTAGCAGTCATGAGGAAAGTAGTATCACATTGATATGGTCGGACAACTGATCATGTATGGTGGAAGGGGAAGTCCCTATTACCCTGATAAGAAGATTCGAGGAAGAATTATAATCCATATTCAGCAAACATAATGAAGTCTAGCATGCAGTCCAGTTGTTATTTGTGTAGAAAAGCAAGGTTTAAAAGATAATATTTTACACTGAAGATAAGTTTCAATAGACTGTACTTTAGCTGCTATGTTGTGTTGTAGTTAGGATATAGTTTACTTTAACCAATCAAGAATAACTAGGTGATATGTGAAAAGAAGCATGCATTTCACATTGACCAATCAACTTGCAGAGTTCATTTCATTCAGAGTCTTTCAGGAAGTTGGGTAGCCAAGTGGTGGAGGTGTTCACTTATTGTGATGAAGACCTGGGTTTGGTTCCAGTACAACTGTGAATCACAACCATGGTGTCCCATGATATGAAAGTATGTTGCAAATGATTATGTTTTTGATGGATTTATTCACCATTTTGAACCAAATAGCTTTAATTGCAAGTTCTCTTTTTGGAAGTGTTTTCTGTTTTAGTCGACCAGATTTTTGCTTTACTATAGGCATTGTGTCATGCACTACTAATTATGATTCTAAATAATAATATTGTGCATTACATTGTGATGGGAAGATTTATTGATTTTGGGGAGTTTAGATGATAAAATGCCTCACAAAAAATAGGTTTTAAGGAAAACCATGAAATAATGATGGATGCTTTTATTATTAATTTTAGACCTTGCTTTTGAGGACCCTGTCTTGATATTCTTCTCGGCTTTGTCTGATGAATAGTTTGCAGATTGAGGTTACATTAACCACCTATTAATATATGCAGAATAATTAAATTCGGGCCACTATTTGGGTGAGTCTTGTCTTGGCCTTGTCTGAATAGTCTATCAGTGACAGTACAGCTGCCTCTAAGGAAACCTGTACAGGTTCTGGATAACACTATAGGTCCTCATCAGTCTTTACTTGTCTCCCTGTGGAGAGTCTGGATCTAGGGAACAATATAAGTGCTTATCAAGCTATGCTTGTCTCCAGGTTGGGATAGTGGGGAAGAATAAAGGTCCTCAGCAATCGTTGCTTATCTCCATGAGGAGAGTCCGGGGAAGAATATAGACACTGAGCAATCTTTGGGATTTGGATTCTGGTTAAGAACATAGTTCCTTGGCATCATATACTTGTCCGCGTAAGGGGATTAAGTGTCTTTGCCTGTCTCCTTACAGAGATTCAGTGTAGAAATATAGGTATACAATAACCTGTGCTTGTCTTAACATTTGCAGATGCTCATTACCTTGTTAAAACACTGACAGAATTCCTGGATGACTGACAAATTATCCTGTAGGAGTAGTATCGCCCTTAAATCAGCTCCCTTAATTTAACAGACTGCCAAACGAATAACAGACTCAATTAACACGGAGCAAGCTTTTAGCAGGCTCATTGTACTGTCCTCACAACTTACATTATGTTATGAATTAAACCACAATAAACAGGATTCGGCTGTCAGTGAAAGTGGGGATAGTTATCATCTTGTTACATCTCGTCACTCTTTCTGTGGTGGAAAT